CAAGTGTCAGATAAGCCAAAAGACATTTTAGAAAAATTGCAAACTATGTGTGCCTGTCCTCTTGAGACACAGCTGGCTCAGTGAAATAAATTAAGGGAGTGGTACATCCAGTAGGCACCACTACTGTAATACCGTCATGCTGCAGGACTGTTATGCTGAGATCTATTTCCTGGGAGACATCTGCAGGGAGCTAGCTCCCTGTTGCTCTGTCCACCTCTCTATCACCTGGTGTATATCCTGGAGTCCCTCTGCAAAGTGTTCTGAAGAAACTGTGAAGTTTCTATATGATTACCCCCTGGTGAATCTGGTCATATGTATACAGCATGGCTCTGCTACCACCAATGGGAATAGTATTGTGAGGGGCTAAGGAACCTGGTGGCTAAAGGAGTCATGAGTGAGTGTATGTCCACCATTCTGTATGCCTTTGCTGCGTGTGTTCCTCGAAAATGCATTTATGTTCAGGAGGTATGCATATGAGGGTGGTGGTTATTTTTAAAAATCCATTTGCTGGAGTGGGTGAGATATATTCAAGTGTTACCAATAGCTCAGCATTACAAACCACCTTCACATTTATCTCTAACATTATCATAAGCAACTTCTGTAAGGCGAAATAATTGACAGCATGAGAAACAGAAAAAAATATTTTTGTCACAGCTGTTTGAGTAACATATATGACCCTTGCTACAGACATGTAGCAACTTGAAATCATACTGGATTACTGCTGTTTGCTCATAAAGGCCAAGAAAGAGTTTACCCACCTGCATATATGAGGTTATCATCATCCTCTGAAGCACTGAAGTTTGGTCCCCGTAGACAGAGTGTACAAGTTCTAAAAGCATGAAAATTCACTTGTGTGGTAACCTTGTCTTTCTGATTTTGTTAGGGTTAAACCAACTGCCAGATTTGGAAGGGATTCCTCTCCTCACATTAGGGTGGCAGGAACGACAGAATGACATTTCCTTTTTTTTCCCTTTTGGTTTTCCACCATCTCATGGAGCTCATGCAGCTTCCTGGAGACACCTGGAAATGTTGCGTTGCAAATTCCCTGCTTCTGCTTGGACTCATTTTTTCTCTCTCTGCTTTCTGTGGCACATTGGTGGTTTTATACCAGGAACTGCTGCTACTGAACACTGCTGCTAATCAAACCATTTCTTGCAGATCAGACTAAGCATCTCAAAGCCTAATTTACTACTGCATATTTGTAAGTATCTACTGCAGAGAGAAGGAAGTTAAGAGAATACTATAGTATCGTTGCATTTCTGGCCTTACTGAGTATCATGTCCATGAACTCAAAAACACACGAGTCAAACACTTTTTTATTTGTTTCAAGAAGTCTCTGAGTGTCTGAGTTGATCCCATTCACTCTTCCTAAGGTATGAACTAACGCAACCGCCAGGGAACAATTCTGTGCTGTGAAGTGAGTGATGACCTTGCAGCAGAAGAGGCCCTGAAGGCAGATGCTGTGTTGGCACTGCGCTGCCCAATAACCTGCCATGACTAGCCTTCTCCTTCACAGAGGGTCCTGTCAGTGCCTGAATCCCTCCTCCCTCTGTACTCCACCATTCATGTTCAATTCTGTTTATTCTGCCCTTGCAGGAAACTGAATATTTTTTGACAACAGAATATTGAGGGCTGGCCTCAGAGAATACAAATAAAATCACTCCCCTAGCTTTACAATCCCACGTCAGGCTTGGCATTGAGGAAGGCAATGTTTTTGTCCTCCGGGAGTGCACGTTACTGGACGATGGCTCACCAGGGGTCCATTTCTGCAGCTTGCATCAGGCCACAAAATATTTGTGTCACAAAACAAGAGGAAACTGTAAGTGATAAAGACTGGCTCAGCACAGACATCTCTAGCTAAGCCATATGAAGAATTCTTTTGTAATCCCTTTGCTCTGTAAGTCAGTTTTGGGTGTGTCAGTCAGAGGATAGCTTCTCACTAGCAACTAGCATTGTTTCACTCATATTTCAGATTAAATGGGAAATATTTTTTGCTGCATCTCGTGTGAGTTACAGAACAGATCACAGGAAGGTGATGCCCAGTTCATACGCTGAGCAGATTTCTCAGGGCACTGGAAAAAAACCTATTCTTTTTACATCAGGGAACTGATCTGTCGTGACCGATAGCTTCTGCAGGTACTCACCTGCTGGCTCAGGTCTTACTCTCAGGGTGCCCATGTGAGTACAGAGCTCTTCTCAGTTGTGAAGTTTCATAAATATCTGGGCGTACCCCCACAACAAGCTGTCCAATGCCATAGCTCTCCTGGATGCTGGGCAGCTTGCTTAGAGTTAGCCTGAGAGTGTCTGCCCAGTCGCTGACCACAGCTGTAGATGTGTCCTCACACACATTGAGGGTCTTCCTTCCCGTGAGGACCCAGGTTCAAGGGTGTATGAGTGGTCCTTGGAACGCCACAGAATGGTTCCATGAAGGGAAATGGCAGTAACCATCACCACCTGCTGGAGATCCATAAAATCACAAGCTTTTGTAGGTGACGTCTTCTGTTTCCCTCTCTCCACCGGGTTCTGCTCAACTTTCTGATGACATCTGGGTGCCAGAAAAGTTATCTGCCATGCCACTGCTATGTGACTTGATGCCATTTGTGTAGATGCTCTTTCTCTCTTGGTGCATTGGGGTGACTAGAGAAGAGTTGCTTTTCTATTCTGGGGCCAGTGGTAATAAAGAGATACAATTTCTGTTCTGCACTGCAAAAAAATGGCTCACCTGTTAATTCCAGTTTCTGGCAGGCAACCTTGTCTACACCCCCAAATCCACTTCTGCATGGGACTCACCCTCTTTTGCAGTCTTTTGCTGCCAGGAACTTGCTTTCAGTTTCACCCAGTGGGGTAGTTTATTTGCATAAGAGCAAGTCACCGTAAGGAAATATTCAGCTGAGTAACATTACTAACGTCCACAGTTCAGTCTTTGGGAATAGAAACTGAAACAAATGTAAGACTAATAAAGGGACATCCTTCACCCAAGAGGCGACAGACAAATCCAGAAAAATCCATGGCTGCTGTCACTGATAGAGGTAAGTACATGTATGTGAAAAGCAGGTCTGTTTCTCCATATTCAGTGTAGATATTTACTGTAGTTTTATCTAAGGAACTGGCGAGTACAGACAAATGTGTGTGTTGGCACATGAAGATACACAGGAGACACCTGTGGATTTGTGTGTGTTACCTCTTTGAATGCATTACCGTATCTTGAGTCTTAGGTCCAGCTTCAAAATATTAATATAATTTTGTTAATCCTGATGTGACATTAGGCAGGAAGAATTCAAATTCTGAAAGACCTTTTAATGTGGAAAGAGATCTCAAAGGCAATTAAGAATGGAGCAAATTAGTTGGCTTATCTTTTCGTTTATTTTGTTTTCAATGCAATAAACAACCAGAAAATGCCTCTTAAAGGATCAGTGCAATAAAGCTATGCAAGGAAAGGATCAGTGCAATAAAGCTATGCAAGGAGCTGATGAGGTCTCTGTTGATGTGGA